TTGTTGTTGCACAACAGGGTTGCACAATGAAATGCAGCTGGCGTCCCTTTACACAAGAAAAATAAAAAATATGTTTAATTTACATCAGGAGGAATGTAAACAACAGCACTGGGGAATTCTGCTGGGCAGATAATATGGCCTGCATCTTAACATAATACATTTGATATCAGGGAAACATCGTCAACTTTAACTACGTTTGAGCACCAAGCATCACCGATGCTGCACCATGCTCGTCCCACCAGCGGCAACCTCCGGTTCTTCCAAGTGAAGCCAACGCGGAAGTGTCTTAAAACGTGCATTCTCTCTACTGGCCAGCAGGGGGCGACTCCTCTCGTTGCAAAAAGAAGTCTGATTGTATCGAAGGAAGTTGACTCTACTTCTCACTTGATTTATTACCTCAGTAATACACATTGTAAACAATTGAGTTTATGGTCTCAATCACTAGTTTCAAGTCTTCTTCAATACAGCATGATGTTCATTCAGTAAATGATGGTCCCATTTAGAGTCAAACAGGGTATGCTTTAGGGCGGGCTGGCTGTGATTAACAGGTGCTGCTACCAGAGCCATGTATGGCATCTATACATTCCAGAAATCTCCGAACTCAAGGCTTCATAACGGCAGTCCAGAAAGCAATGGGTGACATCACAATCAATGAATGCATCCTTAAACATATAGTAGAGAATAACGTCTATTCCATTCATCCACAAAGATGGCATTATTGCTCTTAGTGGGTCAGCTTACCTGCAAACCACCAGTTAGCTTTAGCTTAACTTTAGACGTGTAGGCTGACTAGCTAAAAGAAAACTTGAGAATTACTACTATTTTTTTAAAATGTAGAATTTTTTTATTGAGTTTATGTCTGATTTAACAAACTGCCACTTAAAGATCTTTGTTTATCAAACCTAAATAGCTATTTCATTTAGAAACTCACTCCTTAGCTGTGAGAATGAACGACAAGCTAAGGTAATTTGTTTGATAGCTGCTGTTCAGAGTACATACTGTTTCTGCAGTCATTGACGCACTTACACTCAAACACACACACACACACTTACACTCTCACACACACACACACGTCCTATGGATGAAACAGCGTTTGTAATGTGAAGACAGGTGACTGACAAGGCAGTTTGACAAGTGATTGACAGGTGTGACAGCATGCCAGGGGGAGATTTTTTACAAAGATTGATGGATCAGGAAAGGATTCATGACCTGACACCGGACTGACATAATGAGTGCAACCTCTGACAGCATGCGGCATGTAAAGGAGCAGTAAGTATTTCATTTTTTTATTGTACCGTGGCCCCAAAAGAACTAGTGAAGTGTTGTTGCGAATCGAGTATCTAAACCAATGTTTCTCTTAAAGGAAGAGTGTGTAGGATTTAGGAGGATGTATTTGCAGAAATGGAATAAGATAGACTATGTTTTCATTAGCCTTTTAATCACCTGAAACTAAGAATATTTGTGTGTTTGTTAGCTTAGAATTAGTCCTTCATATAGGGAGCAGGTCTTCTTCCCGGAGTACGCCATGTTAAACCGCCCATGTAAGCGGAAATGTAAATAACTTTTGGTTTCACACAGGACACGGATACTGGTCTCCTTGGTGAAAGTCCTGTCTTTTTGCCGAATACGGCCCGCCACATCATTTTATGTGGCCCACAAAAAAAAAAAATAATAATTATGACATAGAAAGTCGAAATGATGAGATACGCAGCAAAGTGTTTTTCACAGGGTGCATTGAAGCAGTGCATGCTAGAGGTGAGCAGGTGTGCTCCGACCAGATACAGACTTTTAAAAATGTCAGTTTGTGAAGAAACACCATCGCAGACCGAGTTCAGGAACTAGCAGGCAATCTAACAACACAGCTAGCTAAGAGACGAGCAGTTACTTGTCTTTTTCATTAGCTGTTAATGAAAGCACAGACAACACGGATACAGCATATCTATCCATGTTTATAAGAGGCGTGAAGGCAGACTTGACTGTCAGTGAGGAGCTCTTGGATGTAGCTGCCATGCACGGGACGACGACGGGAAGGGATATGAGTGATGCAGAGAGGTGACAAAAATAGCTTTGAACAAAGTTAATGTAATAACTTGTGTTTGATGATATTTGTCTTTGCTATTTTCTTAAATAGTTTGATCTTTGATAGAGTATTGTGGGTTTCCTAACCCTAAATTAAAAGGATTTATGTTATAATAACAGAAATGTGCTTACATATACTGTATTTTTACATTTATATAACTGCATGTACAATATTTTTACACTTGAATAAACAATAATCAAATGCAGAGTTATTTAACAATATGTTAGGGAGTAGTTATATTTATACAGTCTTACAGTTACAACCGGCCCTTTGAGGGAAACCATGATGCTGATGTTGCCCGGAGTGAAAATGAGTTTGACACATCCCTGCCATAGACTGTCATAATTCGACACGTAGGGCCACTGGTTCCCTTCCTTGGGAGTGATACTGCTTGGCTGAGTTTTCTCACTCTCAATGTGCTTTCCAAAAGAAACAAATCGCATTTCAAAACCCTTGATTACACACTATGGTGTTATTTAATTCAATACAAGATTTTCCATTTCTTAGAGTAAGCACCATGAGATGAATCATCTTGTTGTCGATGTCCTACATGAAATAAAAACGCTGTCTTTCCCCCCTGTTAGCGACTAACTATCAGCAGGGGCGTTTCTAGGATTCAAAGAAAGGGGGGGCTTAGCCCCAAGGGGAGTGGCATGTTTGCGCGCAAATTTTTGGGGCCCATTTGGGGCCGTGGATATCCATTGTTTCAGACAGTTCATAGATTGGTTCAATCAGAAAGAGTGTGCTTTTGCTCTGTAGTTTTGCTTGCGTTCAGTATATGATAACACAAGAGACAGAATTTCAGGGTCATAGTGAAATTTCACAACACAAATATGAACTTTTCTCAAATAAAGAGAGAAATAATTTTCCTGCTTGTAAAGGAAAGACGGATAAACTAGCTTTCATATCCGCGTCACTCCCAAATCCTAATTCTTAAAGGGACCGCACACAATGGATAGAGAATGGACCTGACAGTGTCAACTTTATATCGTTAAGTATGATGATAGGCTATTGGATTGTAATTTGAAGGGGGAGAAAACATACAAACCAGAACGCACGCACATATGTAGCATGTTAGAGTTATAAATAACTTGTCCATGTGAGAAACAATAGTTTAATTTAATGACATCACCAAAATAAAATTAAAAAAAAAGATTTTTTTTTTTTTTTAAAGCCAATAATGCCAAATTATTTGGGGGGGGGGCCTAACGACGCCCCTGACTATCAGTAGCAATTTCAATCAAGATGATCTCATTCAAAATTAAATTTTGCTTGATGAGTCATCTTAATTTCCAAATAGCGTGTGAACAGATGGAAGAACACGCAATCGAGGTTGTTAAAGCATGGCAATCTAATATTGGAATAGAGCCTGGTAAACCATTTGCTATCATCACATCAGTCCTTTAAAAGTGACTTATCTTTGAGGAAGCCCATTACTTGGGATTTCACCCGAATCAATGAGCACGAGATTGAAAGTAATTTTGCTTGAGGACAAGGTAATATCCGACAGGTCTCGAGGTGCCAAACATATAGCGCTTAAAAGTACTGCCGGTCTCCACCGCCCTCCGTAAAAACATCAGCTCTCCCAGGCCCGCTACCTAATCCAAACAATCAAAGATGCTTTCATCCTGTTCAATTACCAGCTTGTTTGCCTGCAATTAGTTTGGTGTGAACCGACTCTATTAGCGCGGCACAGTGATTTCTCTTCTCTTTCCTCCCGACAGATCTCTTGATCCGCGTTGCGTGCATAATTAAGCATCGATGATAAGCTAGAGAACGGCAGTCAGCCAGGAAAGCTCCTCGCTCTTATCTATTTCGAGGACCCCTAGATGGATCAGCAATAGACCGCTGACCCCTGTTTGATCCAGATGTGGTCAGATGAATCTCGTCCAAGAAGTCGGCTGCCGGTAAATATGGTGGTAATGACACAAGGGGAGGAAGGATGGAGTCAGCTGTATTTTATCAGTTCATTTGGAACACAGATTTTTGTCCCCATGATGCCTGCTGCCTCTTATATTGTGTAGTCTGACCCCGGCTTTATGCATTTTTTATACATTCGTAGTTTTTTGAGTTACGCATATTACCACTTTCCCCTCTTTTGTTTGACTCTAAGTCTCTCATGTCCTCGGGTCCTCATGCAACCCTTAGCCACTGCAGCTTTGGTTAAAGGAATCACAGTTATTTGGTCGGTCAGAAAATAGTGATAAATGGCCATCGTGCGTTCCCGGAGCCCAAGGTGAAGCCTTCGAGTGCTTGTTTTCAAACACAAACGCCTTAAAACCCAAAGACATTCATTTTTATTGTCATATAAGACTACAACAGAAAACCTTCACATTTGAGAGGCAATAAGCGTTTTTTTTTTTAACTTTCTCAAATAAATCATATGACCTGGACCTCATATATTATGACCCATTTCTTTTCTATACATTTATTTCCTAGACATTTTAAAAAGATGTTGGTTTCGACTTATTGTCTCGAGTTTGGAATAAACTGCACATGGCCTTTGAGGTAAAATACGGGCAATTGGTCGATTTCTGAAATGAAATGTTTCTCTTGTTATCACCATTGCGAGCCCTGGAACTCCCCTGAAGACCCCTGGAGGTTTCATGTCCCCCGAGTCCTCATATCAAGTCCTACTTTATATTTAGCCTAATCATTTCTTCTGGACAAACACAGCATGAGATTTGGCACTCGCTCTCTCTCTCCCCCTCTGTCTCTCTCTCTCCCCCTCTGTCCCCCCCCCCCCTCTCTCTCTCTCTCTCTCTCTCTCTCTTTGTATCTATGCCTCTCTATCAGCTGGATTTATTCTCGGCGGACACTGATGCGCACAACATAACAAGGCCTCCTCTCCAGTACCCCCCTCCTCCTCTCTTTCTCTCCTCTTGCGCACGCTCTCTCTCTCCCAGGTTCTCTCTCTCCTCCATCCCATCTCCCCTCCTCTGCTGTGCACCTGCTCCTCCCCTCCTGCCTTATTATCCTCACACACTCAAGAGCAGCGCTCCGTGCTCGCCAAGTGATGCTCCTCGGCGGCGCACATCGCGGGGTTAGCACCGCCCGCTGCAGGGAGGACCGCTCCGGCTTGTTTTTCTCCCCTGGAAACACGCGCGGGAGCACGGGCAGAACATGGGAATTTAACGGGGCTTCCGAGTGAGTGAGCTGGAGGAGGGGTAGGACGACGAAGAAGCGCTCAAGTCCCATCCGAGAGGAGAGAGAGAGGAGGTTAAGGTGGAGGAGGGAGTTCTCCGGGGAAACGGTCCCGCCGGGACAGAGGGGGAACGCAGCGGAAGGTTTTTCGGCTTTACATAGTTTCAAATGGACTAAAGGTGTCTGTTTTTGTTGTTTGAATGTGAAGAATAAAAATCACGGGGGTTTGAAGGAAGGGTTGTGGAGTTGCGTCCGTCGGTCGGTGCCTCTCTGTTTGTGATGGAGTGAGTGGAAGAGAGGGCACGGGAACTTCAGCCTCGCCATGAAATCAGTGTTTTTCAGCCGCTTCTTCATCCTGCTGCCCTGGGTCCTCATTGTCATCATCATGATCGATATCGACAGTAAAAGGGCGATCCGTGCTCCGGCAGCCGGCCGGACCGGCAGGGCGCAGCGGGCGGCCCGGACCGGCGCACCAGGGACGGGTGGTACCCAGAACCAGACCGCTCTGCCGGTCATCTACGCCATCACTCCGACTTACACCCGACCGGTGCAGAAAGCGGAGCTGATCCGTCTGGCACACGCCTTCCGCCAGGTTCCCCGGTTCCACTGGATCGTAGTGGAGGACTCGACCACGCGCACGGAGCTGGTGGCGCGCTTCTTGGCCCGGTGCGGCGTGCCGTACACGCACCTGAACGTGTTCACTCCCCGCAGGTTCAAGCGCACCGGGATGCCACGCGCCACCGAACAGAGGAATGTGGCTCTGACATGGCTCCGGCAGCACCGGAGCAAGCGGGACGCCGGGGTGGTTTTCTTCGCGGACGACGACAACACCTACAGCCTGGAGCTGTTTGAGGAGGTAACATATACCCACTAGCGGTGTTATTGTCTATGATGGTCAGTTCTCATCACTTTAACGCTGACCAAGAGCATCATGGCAGGAACAAGGCTTGGCATTTCCCATTAGGCAACCGTGAGGTGGAAACATACACATGGAGTTTATTGCTGTTAAAATACTTCCACATTACACGTAAAAGTCCTATCCTTAAAAATTGAATGTTAACTATTATACTACATATTATGAGTAAAATTAAATGAAATTAAAGCTATAATGTAGCTAACTTCCGAAAGAGAAAATAGAAAAACCTACATTATTTTACAAATCAAAAGTTAAATTCTTCGGTAATAAAAACACCGCGTTCTTGCCCACACTTGCTGCTACAACCTGCTCGCTCTGGTGTGACCAGTAGCTCACGGTGGGTACCGTTAGCAACCCTTTAGCTTAGAGATATTACTGTGTGACTGACTGAGACAGTTCTCTGACTTGATGACTATTCTGTCTTGGTGCTACTGTTACACTATGTTTTAGCATTGGCCAGTGTCTGTCTTAAAGTTAACACCTGTGGTCATAGTAGTTTGTTGCCTTTCAGCATGGTGGGCTCGCTTCTCAAGTATTAGAAGTAGCCATTATACAGAATGACCCCTTTCAGAGTCATTATTATATATATATATAATTATTTATAACTATATACTATTTTACTATTAACATTGTTATATTGTAGCCAATTTACATGGAGATCATTCTAACTGCTTTATATACTGTGGTGTTGTTTAGTTCAATAGTCAAATAAATTAAAAAGTAGAGTTCTTGATTAAATATACTTTCCACCTGGACGTTAGGTGTTGGAGAGCCCACCACCAAACAGCCCTGAGAAATATCAGAGCCATTCCTGCTCGCCCTGCGGCCCAGGATTTTGTCCCAGAGATTTATTTATTTATGCAATGTGGGGAGACAATAGAGATGGGAGCTACTGTATCTATATATTTAACAGCATGTAGTATTTGAGAACCTTCTACGAGGGTAAAAGGGTCTATTTCCCCCGTATCTGACTTTGTTGGTACCGTGCTCTAACCATCATGCTGCTCAGGAAAAGTCACTGTTTTGCTATCCCCATATGGGATCATTTCAAAGGAATCCAAACATCAAAATTCAATGCTTCTTCATGTTTATGGGGAGCCCACTGGAGCCTAACTAAAAAACCCTCGGGAAGCATCAGTTTTTTTGAGAATCGCTTGTTTCACCTGAGGGGCCGTTGTTAAACTGATAAATTCTAGTATAGTGAAAGCGGTGAAGCTGCATGGACACTTGGTTGAGTGAAGGGCCTAAATGAGTGACAGAAAGAACAGATGAAGAGCAAAAGGGAGAAGCTTGACAGAAAATGAGGAGAGAGATGGGTGGAGGCTGGTACTCGGGCCGTTTTGGTTGGGTTGCCAGTTCTTTCAAATCCTTATCTCAGCACCATTGCTGTTCAGTTTTCTATTGATCGGTGTGCCAGTGTGTGTGTGTGTGTGTGTGTGTGTGTGTGTGTGTGTGTGTGTGTGTGAGAGATTATTTTGTTGGCTCCAGCTGGCTCACTGTGTGTGTGTGTGTGTGTGTGTGTGTGTGTGTGTGCGTGTATATACGTGTGTGCGTGTGTGTGTGCGTGTGTGTATATGTCAGTGGTGGGCCGTCAGGGCCTGCAAGGCCTTCTCTGCTGGCCTAAACAGAATCACAAAGTTATAGCTATTTTATAATTTAAGAATTTTTCTTAAATACACTACATGTATTATAATTTATAAAAATATTTTTCCCATTATCTTATTTTCTCATTGCACAGCTACTGTCTTCCTCAGTTGCTCTGCTTCCAGTGCAGCTTGTTTTAAGTAGAGCTTTTATCCAATCAGATTTCACCTCTGTGTCTCTAGGTAAGAAGAGAGGCCTGAGGCCTGCAGACTCACAAGTGAATCCTTTTGCAGTTTAAGTTAATGGGGACGATATTGTTGATTGTCATAATGTTCAACCAATCAGATCTTTAGTTTGACATGTTGGCCGTATTCTTTGACGTGCCAGAGCCTGCTAGCTGGCCTACAAGTACGTCAGTATTACGTGCAGCTCAGTTTTCAGGTGCAGCTCTGCAGTGAGGTGCAGCGTGCGCTATGATTGGTCAGTGGGCGAGCATGTGACTATCGTGAAACTAAACTTAAAGTAGCCAGCAAAGCTTAGTGGGAGTAGTAAGAGTTGAAATTGAAAGATATGGAAGAAATTATGACATTTGTTGCATTTTGCTTGGTGCAGATTTTTTTTTTTTTTACCTAGCTTTGTTTTTTGAACACTCAATGGCTGAAGGAGGAGGAACGGATTTGTGAGTTGGGAGTTAACGGTTGGATTAAACTCTTTGTCAACAAAGAAAGGAGGATGGAGTTTGTCTTTAAGTGAACAGCATTTGGTAAGTCAACTGCGTTTGTTTTTTTACATCTAACATCTGAATGGCCCTCGAGTGTGTAGGTGTTCCGTTGCAGGTCTGCTGGATTGATTTGTTGCTCTGTTGTCATATGAATATATGTGACTGGTTCTTGTGAGTTTGTTGTCATTGTGTTAATTATATAGATTTGGACTATATGCATTGTCCGTTAATTACGAAGCATGTGCGGAGTTATTGTTTGTTAAGCTAGTTTAGCCTAGCCTCCTAGAAGTGCTCAGCTGTTTTTTGTTGTGGTTTTTTTTGTTCTGGTTCAGAGGTCACACAGCCCGGTGTCTCCTACATTAGCGCAGAAAACATTATATTTCCTACAATTTAAGCTGTGGCGCCATCATGAGGTTATTAGGAGATGTTTCAGCTGCAGGACAGCAGTGAAGGCCCAGGTATAAAATGCACGGCCCGCCACTGGTATATGTACGTGTGTGTGTGTGTTTTTGTGTGTGTTAATGTTTATGAATGTATATGGTGCAACGGATCATCAAACTCGCGGTTCGGAGCATATCATGGATCAGAGTCAAGGTTTGGATAACAGATCAGATCAGCACAATAGAAATAAGGGAGCACATATAACCTTTACAGATCCCTGGTCACATTGATGATTGATGATCCATATTGGCAGATACAGACCCCTTTGTTGTTTGATTTTAGCAGCTGGTCTACAAGGCTCCAGACTTTTATTTTGCCTCCGTCCCAAAATTCATTTCAACAGCTCTGAAGTCTGTAAACCATCCAAAATTCAAAATGTTATACTTTTACTTTGTTATAGTAATTTATCGTGTTTTTTTCTTCATAAAAACACAGAATTTAAATGATAAGTAAATAAATCTTGTCATTAGTAGTTTCAATGATATATTACAATCTGCTTAGAGCTTGTGTAAACAGGTTATAGTTCCCACTCTAATATCTCTTCATGTTTTTTGTAAAAACATCTCCTTCAAACACCTATGTTTATTAAAGTTTATCACCAAAACTACATTTTACAAGATTACATTTGAAGACATCATGATAACGTTATAATGTACCCTCGCCCAATACTTATTTTCACTGAACAGAGCCTGAACGCATCATAATATAACTGAAGGGAACCGTCGTTGTCCTGGTATATATTTAAACGCAGATTGGTTCATTACAATGTGACATTGTCAGAGATCGGCAACTTGAAAAGCATGAATGCCGATGTCCTGATCGCATATTTTACTGAATATCAGCGGATAACGATCGTCATTAAAACTTTATTTCACACTGTGATGGTTAACATTAAACTGTGTAATTAATCCGCGGCCCACACGCGTGGATCGACAGTGGTTCGTTACACCACTAATATTTATATAATGAAATATATATGGGGATACAAACATATCGATTAGCTGTGGTCTTTAAATCTGAGTTTAAAGGCCAGATGATATGCCAGTATCATGCTCGTATATAATACCTCCATGTAACTCAAGTCTTTGTGTGACATTGTTTCTGTCGGGTCACGTACATGGCGGGACGCAGCCTTCCTCCGATACACACCGTGCCCTCGACGTCCAGATCATGAAGAAAGACGAGAAGCGGGAAAACGGTCCTCAATGTCTCGTGGATGCAGAAACACAAAAGAATGCTTCTCTGATTTGTGATTGCTCACTCTGATTACTGCCATTCAAAGATAGCGGCAGGTCTGAAATTGCTTTTGATTTGCTCCAATAATGAAATGTTCACAATGTAAATAATTTTCTATAAATTAGCACCTAATGATATACTAAAAACGGAATACCTGAGCATTTTGCTGGCCCTTTGCAGGAAGAGACGTTTGCTTTTGCAACATGTTGATTTGAAAAGGCTTTTTCTTCTACTTTAGAAGTATAGTAATCTATTCCGCAAATAGCAAGGTAAACCGAGGGTGCATTTACATCACATGTGTTAGATTCACTTTATTTGAGCTCTGCAGCTTTTCTTACTTCTGTTTTTGGTAGGTTTGTTTGGACATATGAGAACGAAGGCTGAAGACAGGAAACGTACGTTGGACGCCTTCTAGAGGTCTGGTCCATCACGAGAGACGATGTCAATATGAGGGTTCCTTTTCACTATTGATTGATCGGACTAATTTTTTCTCAAATTAGTTTTTTGATTTATAAAGTGTAAGAAAAATTGCCCATCACAATATCCTAAAAACTAAAGTGAAGTCTTAAATGAACTTGTCACTGTCTAAAACCCAATAATAGTCAGTTTTACATGACAGTTTAAAAGCTGGAAACAGAGAATGTTTTGCATAAATGACTCAAATCGGTTATCACAATAGTTGCAGAATAGTTTTCTGTCCTTCTATTAATTGATTTAATATTTAAACGTGTTGGCTCTAAAGGCTTTTAACATCCAAAGTCAGTTTGTCTGGGTTGGTGCTCCGTCCACTCTGCTTAGCCAAAGTTACAGACAAATCTAAATCCAATCAATCGAGATGCAGCAAAGTCCATTTTTTTGTCCAGGCTGAAGAAATCCAGCTCTATTTAGAATCACATGCTGACTGACACGAGTCGGCTTTTTTTCCCAGAGTAGCGTTCCTGAATGCACCACTTGGGTA